CTTTAATTCGTCAATTAAATCCAAGTTACATTTATTGCTAGAATTAGACCAATCGTTATACCGGTAAAAGACGATTATTGCGTACGAATTAATCTCAAGGATACCTTCTCGTACGCGTATGCGTCTCGGAAATTTGCGTGGACGGAACGCAAGCAAATTTGAGAAATTACAAACAATCTATTATTGCGCGATATCATAAAAACGAGCGTTTCACTTTATTGCACGCATATTGTGCTAGTTCGCAAGAAAAACGGGACCATGCCTATATATTGATTTTCGCCCTTTGAACAGTCGAGTCGCAAAACAGAAGTACCCATTTCCACTTATTAAAAACTGTCTATCACATTTCACAAATAAAGCAGTCTTCACTCTTCTTGATATGAAAGATATTTTTCACCAAATTAAGGTGCATCTGGATAACACAAAGTACTTCTCTTTTGCAACACCCGACGAGCAATTCGATTACAATAGGTTATCATTCGGATTCTGCGACGCGCCCGCTAAGTTAAAAAACGTCTCATACAAATCCTTCAACCGCTTATTAGAACAGATAAATTGATCGTTTATATTAATGATATTTTAGTGGCGACAGATTCTGTTGAAAATTTAGAAATATTATGATAAATGCTCGTTATATTGAAAAAATACGCGTTGAATTACTCAATTTCTGAAAATCAAGATTGAATACTTGGCTACACTCTTTCGTGTAATTCAATAGCAATAAGTTAAAGAGTTACGGAGGCGGTATGGAATTTTCCGCAATCGTAATTTAGTGGAAGTCCAGCGCTTTCTGGGATTAACAGATTATTTCAGAAGATTTATTAAACATTATTCGCTTAAAGCATAACCGTTATACAATCTGCTCAAGAAAAACGTTGATTTCAATTTTGACTCTCCTTATCTTGAATCCTTTCAAGAATTGAAAAATCTCTTAATGTCATTTCTTGAAAATTTATAATCTAAATCCAATTCCACACGAATACGAGTGCATTGGGAGCGATCCTTATGCAAAAGCATCCGATGAGCACCTGTTGCTTACAATCAAACAAATAAGGCTGAAATGAACTATTATAGTTTTGAACTGGAAATATTCGCAATAGTCCGGGCTATAGAGAGATTTCACATTTACTTATACGGAATTGAAATTTACTGTAGTGACAGATTGGTCTTTGCGATGAATAAAGCTTAATTCCAGAATCGCGCGATGGACACTCAGTTTGCAAAACTATCGCTTTAAATTAATGTATAGAAAAAGCATGGATATGCTGCATGTCGATGCCCTTAGCCGAGCAATAGCATACGTAAATGTTATGCCACTTGAAAGGGCATTAGAATACAGGCAATTACAGGATCCATTATAAAGGCCATAGCGAACTGGAATTAACCGACAGCGAAAAATTCGAATTGTTCGACGGACTTGTAAAGCACCGGATTATCCGTGTTTCCCGAATCGATGATAGGCAATATTATTAGGGCATATCATGATGAGATGGCACATTGCGGCACTGAGAAAATGTTTTAGGGCATAAATGCTACGTATTGGTTCCCATCTATAAGGAAAAAAATAAGAAATCATATCGATCATTGTCTTACTTGTTTAATGACTAACTGCGTTTCGCAAAACCAGAAAAAAGATGAAATGCAGTTCACTACAATCCCGAAAAAGCCGTTCGAGATACTTTATATAAACTTTTGTCCTCTACAGCAAATTGAAGATAATTTTAAATTCGTTTTTATACTCGTAGATGCTTTCACGATTTACGTGGCTTCATCCAATGAAGTCAACGTCATCGAAAGAAGCAATCGACTTCTTGAAATTATTGTTTAATATTTTTGGATTGCCAAAAGAAGTTATTTCAGACAGAGGAATTGCATTTACTTGTCGCGAGTTCGATGCTATGATAAATTTAAATAATATTGTCCATCATAAAGTAGCTGTTGTTGTGTCATGGGTCAACGGCATCATGGAGCGAGTCAATAGACTCAAATCTACTTTGCAAAAACTCGTGGACAAGCCACGACTGGAAGCATTTCTCAGTAAAGCTGCGTATATAATTAATAACACGTTCCATCAGGGAACAAAGTCGACTCCGTCAAAACTCCTAGGCTACGAGGGATAGAATTCTTGCTCGCTGAGTTTATTAAGGAATTCACACAAATAGATTCCGATATAGAAAAACAGCGAACGATAAATAGAGAAATAGCGTTGAAGCAACTGAAAAGCTTCAAAGTTACAATAAGCAATATTATGATGAAAAACATCGACAATCGACTTTTTACAAACAAGGCGACTTAATCCTCGTGAAGGATGATCAACTGAAACCTAGCACAAACAAAAGCTACGATCAAAATATAGAATCCTTATATGATTATGAAAGTTCTAAACAAGAACTGATATTTGATTCAGAATATACCTGGCTTTAATTTAATAAAAATCGTATACTCTATATTAGCCCGCTCGACTTAAGCTGTGGATCAGATCCGACGGTCGGTTTTGGACGATGCAAAACAAAAATTTTAAACTAGTCATTAAGCTTCTAGAATATTTTCAAACTTTTCATTAGATTAAGTTACGCTAATATAAGGGTATAAGCACTAGCAGTAAGGAACTAACTTTTTTTATACAGCAATATAATTCTGTATTCATAATATATGTCCCTTTAAATAAAAGGGACATTCGCAGTCGAATGCCATACTCAGGCTGGCCGAGCTGTAAGAAAATTCCTGAGACCATCACTGCGTAGGTGGAGCATTATTGCCGCGAAAGCTCATATGGAGCCAATGAGCATTTGAAATCACGAATTATCTGCGTATGCGCGGATACTCCGAAGCATGCGAACGGCATGAACCGGAGCGAATCGAAAATGAATTGTGGGTCAAGCAAGTTCGTGAGTTACAGTTCTGCTCTTTTCGCGCTCCGTTAATTTAAGATTATACACAATAGAGAATAAATATATTCATGGACATAAAGTAATACAGCTATTCTAAATCAAAGCCTCTCTCCTTTTCTGACAAGAATCTTTCGCGTTTGGTCGGCCGCGTTCGTCAATGTGTACCATTGGCGACGTCCTCGTGCCGGGCACGGAAGAACGAACTGAAATCTTACAACATATACATATAAATATATTTATACATACCATTATAAATTTTATTATCAGACTGTATTTTTTGCTGTACAATATTTTCATTATTTTTTTCTTTTTTTTCTAATAATTGGGTACAATATACTAAATCTAAAAGGAAAGAAACCAAAGTTTGGATATATTGTAAATTATCTTAAAATCTTTTTGTATGTAGCATTTTTAACCTTTTCTATTTCGTGCATATCTAAAGCAGAAAAAGCAGAATAAAAATATTAAAAAAATATTTTAAATATTCGAAGCACGAAGATATTCTTCTTCAGTCAGATTAAATATATGCAATAGATGATACTGGTTTCGTGATCTGTAATTTGGTATTGCACCTTGAAAATCTAAATGAAGTCGCCGTGAAAGTTTCCCGCCAAATATCTTAGAACGCTCCAGCTAACGTTCCGAGAGGCATATAAAGGAAGGGAAACTCCATACAGTCTAGCCAGTTTACAAAATATAGACCGATTTAAGGTTCCGATTCTCGACACTCTTAGCGCACGTGATTTAATAGTTCTGCGTATAATGAGTGCGCCGTAAGAAAAGTGTCACGAACGTAATCTCCGATTTGGCTGCGTTACCTTCGGCTAAAAAAATACAACGAAGCAAAGGATTGCCAGAAACTGAGCTTAAATAAATGTTTATTTCATTTATATTTTAAAAGTCTATCACACTCTCGTAATCCAAAAAATACTCGTCAGCACATTTGTATAATCAAATTGTAATTTAATCTACATGAAATTGTTGGTATGTGTACATTACTCACAAATTACACAATGATGTTTTAATAGAAATAGAGATGCACGATAGACAGCCTTAGAGCAACAACTTGATCTATCCTTTACAAAATATATGTACCATATGTCACATGCATTATTAAATCAATAACTCTTCTCAAGGATGTGGACAGATTGAATCTTTGATAGCAACGATGATGTAAACTGTGTATACAATAACTAATTACTAATTTGTATATGACGTTATGCTTATGACGTTAGAATATCACAGTGACTACTCAGGAATCTTAATAAATTGAAATTGTACATTGAATTAAATGATAAATAAGTACAGTCGAATCTTGTAAAAATATCATTTATTTTAAATATAAAAATAAATTTTAATAATTATACTTTATATTCATCATCTTGTATATATCATTTTATATGATATCAATTCTTTTGCTTTTGTTGTTTATTACATTTCTTTCTTTATTTTTTCTTTTATTGCCTCCATTTGATTCGACTTCAGTGTTTTTTATTTCCTTACATGTCAGTTTAGCAGCTTTCCTTCTTTCTCGAATCCGCTGATTTTGCATGTTGTTATTCTTATTTTCTTGTTTACAAATAAAATAAATTCGAGTTAGATAAAAGCGAATAATGCTATGAGTTAAAATCATGTCGTGTTCGCAACATCCAACTAATAATAAGGATCACAGATTCTCCACAATTTTTGTAAATAATTTCAAAAAAAGTATTCGCATTTAATTTGTTACTATTAAAAATATTCAAGATTGTTTTTTCAAAGATTGAAATCAAAGGCGAAAGGTTGATTGATGAGATTGCCCTTGGATCTAAGCGAAATAAGTTTGTAGCTTTCTGGAACTAATTCTGACAAAGACAAAATTGCAGTATTGCTATGCAGTTCTTGCATAGTACATGCTTCTGGCCAATACAAAAACATGAATCGTGACGTTTTTCTTGTCACGTTTTTCAGTGGTATGTATGCGATTACATATTCCGAAGCAGTGCTGTAAAATAATCATGATCTTCAACAATGGACGCTGCTCCTGAGATAACTTCTACATTTATTGCATGATCCAATACTATTTGAGTATCCCACTGAGTATTTCTTTCTGTTGTGTCCGTAATATCTTTAATTTTCAGAAGCTTTAATTAGCAGAACTTTCAGTATTTCTTCACCAAAGATGTTACTTCCTTTCGTCGAGGCAAGTGAGTATATCAATATTAGCCGGTATATTTGTATAAATAATGTAGAATCCAGATGATCATTCGATCCACAGTAGCTGTGCATCATTCCAAAAAATAGCTTCAACAAAAACATTTCTTTAAATATAATATAATATAATATAATGGCAATATAAACAGTTTAGAATTTTGTTTATGATTAATTTTGGAAATAATATTAAAGATATAAATTTTATATAAAGATTAAATTTTTACAAGTACACTTTTAAAATTTTTAATAACAAATACATGAAATTTCAAAAAACAGAAATGTTAATTTTTTGATTCAATTTATACGAAAAAAATGCTTTCAGCCTTTGAGCAATGTACGAAATTTCATTCAATAAACAATTTTATTATTTCTTAATTATTTGATTAGATATTTTTTTGTAATACCTTCAAATTATTTTGATTCTCGCTTTGAATCTCGCTCGTCATTAAATAATCAAATCCGCAGTCTTTTGTCAGATACCGACAAACTTCAAGAATATCTTTCAATGATACTTTAAATCCATGGCATGTAGAGTCGGATGGAACTCTTTCTTCTTAGCTTCCGTTTCCTAGGTAATTATGTATGTCAAAAATTCTTTTACTATCTGTAACAATTGAGATTAAAAAAATAAAATTTGATATGTTCAAGTAAGCGGAACGAAGCATCCATTTAGGTTGAACATGATCAATTATACTTTCCATGCTTCATTACCCAGCTTCATAGCATTTTTTAGTGTTCGGCAATTCATAGCTTTAATGAGCTTTTTTATTCTGGAGCAGAACGATTGCGTCGGTATAGAATCATGTAGTTCATTACATTCTTATTGAAATAGTTGCATGGATTCTGTCACTCCAAAAAACTGAAATTATAGTATACTATAGAATCATCTAATAATTCTAATATATAAGAAACATTTTAATTGTGTGTGAAAGTCGAGTAAATGTACTTGAAATGCTAGTGTAACATTCATTTTTTGATAATACCGAGACTCAATATAGTCAATGGTTAACTTGTAAGCATCTTTAGGTTGACACCTAGGATTCTCGCTTTTTAACAAAGCATATCAATGTGAAAGCTTTATCACGCCATCAAGTGTCTTTGAACAAAAATATAATTTATTTATTATTGTAATGTTTTTGCACGCATCGGAAGATATACCGCAAAAAATAAATAGACAGAATATGTCTATGCATATATTTCCATATAATGTATCAATCGCTATTGTAATACAAGGGGGAAAATCTCCCGCTCTTTTTACGCTCAACACGCCATCTCACAACACCATTCGGGAAGAAAAGAAAATACTCTAGCAGCGCTTTCTACAGTTAGTGGCAGCGATTACAAACTACAATTTCCTCACCACTTAATTTGAAAGAACAAAAACGAAAAAAAGAAAATACAAATCCACTTATAAGTTTAAGGTTTTTCGAGGTTTCAGCTTGAGCATCGTCGATTTTCAATGCGGGCACTTAGTGTTCCCGGAAATTTTGCTGGTGCTATTTCGTCTGGATGGTGCGCGCTTATATATAATCGTAATTCAACAACAAACAGTGATCTTGGAGTTAACATTACAAATAGTCGAAAGTGCCTCTTTCTTATCATAGTTATCACTTACGTTAGAGGTTATACTTCAGAAATTACAGAAAATATCTAAATGACGTAATAATATTTTTCAAGACTTCTTAAGTTTCTATAGATATATCTTTTAGAAATTCTACAAAGATATCGTCAACAAAATCTTTATAGATATATTTTAGATAACTTCTAGATATCTTTTCTAGAATGTATTGAAGATATATTTAAAAAAATATCGTTTAGATATTTACAAGACTGATGTTTTCTTTTATATAATATATGCTTTTTTTATATGTAGAGGAAAATGGATGAATTGTGCGCACCTAAGGTAAATTTATTGTCCTGGAATGATTTTCCAAGTTCAAAGCGATGTAAGTATGAAAATAGAAACTATAAACATTCTTCTATCATTACGTATCCTCATATCGAACAAATTTTCATTCAATAAAGTTGTATTTGATAAAAAGGAAGAAACGGGAAAGCGAAAAAATTCTCGCGTATGAATTGAAGAATTATGCAAAGCTAAAGTTATAGGAAATGAATGAATTATGAAATGTTGACAAAGAAATCAGAAAATATATTTATTATATTGCAATATAAATATATATTAAATA